GGTGGTTTAAATATGTTTGTTCACATGTATGAAAGAACAGCTGTAATCCTGGTGTGCACAAGGATGAAACACCACCATTACAGTCAGATATGGCAACCAGGACATGTATAGGATTACTGGCAGAACTCTGACCACATCTTCACGCACCCCACCTCTTGTCCACCCTTGCACTTAGTCAAGTTTGACTTCAAGTGTGGTTTTGCAAATCACTGTAGCTGTGATGAAACACAAGGAGACGAGCCTGAACACCAAGCTGAAATATATCCGACTCATGAACCAAACAAGCCGCTTATTGACCGAGGATGATCATTTTAATTTAGGTTACTGACTTCCGCCCATGGTGCCCTGTCCATGGTGCCAAAAAAAAAAATTGATTTAGGGGAAAAAAAATGATGGCTTGAAGATAGTTCCTAAATGTTGATATTATTCGGAGATCAAGTAAGAACTGGGCAAATCTATCTTTATATATAATGTAATCGGTCTATTTTTGTGCCCCTTGATTTGTCAAATTTGTTTCCGAATCAGATTTTCAGTACTGAAATTATAACAAGCAGAACTTCCATATGGACAAAATTCTGGCGTCCTGAAAAATGTACTATTTTCAGGAAGTATGGTTCATCTGAACCAAATTTTCTCACAGTGCACAAGCCTACTGTACGCACATATGTAAAATACACAATAGTAATTCAATATCAATAACTTACAGTTCACTTGTTATAATTCACCTTTATTGTACTTGGCTACACTGACTATAACAGATTATACAAATTGGCTCTGTTAGCTGAAATAACTTTATCAGATCAATCTTTTTGAGTGTCTGCGTGTCTTTCTTTGGATAAAGCATAAAGCAAGTAGTGGGGATTATCAATGCCATCACCTCCTTAAAGATTACTTTTGATAAAACACTGTTTTTGATGGAGCAACACTAGCTGGCACAGTCCACCAATTTAACAACAAAAAAAATCAAAAGAAAACGTACCTGCGATCCAGTGCTGAAGTCATGTTTTGATTCGACTTCCATGACATCTCTCTTCTTTGCTGCAGGGGAAAGGATGTCTGGAAGGTAGGGCTGACGGAAGACTTAGGGACGCACGGAAAGGGGCGCCATTGGTTTTCAGCTTGTTATACATGTTGACATTGGATGCCTTTTATACACAGAATTGATCTTAACATTCCTAGCTAATTCGCTGGAGAAGGAGTTACATCTCCAACAGCAACATCACATCCATTTATATGTGTAGCGTTTCTTAGTGAAATGCTGTACATACAGAATCCAAGTACCATGACCACTTCAAATCACTGAAGTGGTCATGGTGCTTGGAGTTACCTTTTAACTTGTGTCTTTTGAGAAGCATTAGACTGTAGTAAATGAAATATATGTACATTTCTAACAAAATAAATAAATAAATGAGCAAAGTTCACATCCTATTAAAATCAAAATAGCAGCCAGCCTGATAGTTTCTTTCATTATATCCATTACTAAAAACACCTGAAGATAAGGCAGTCTACACTTAATATTAATACTATAATAATTATCTTTATTTTCCATTTGCCAGTTCTAAAATCTAAAGTGTGCAAAATCTATTATAGAAGATTTGAAACTATAGTAGTACCACATGACTCATTTAGAGAGAAAAATGGGACATTATAAAATTGACATTAAAAGACCATTAACGGCTCCCAGACCACTTCATCTCAATACAGTTGCCCTGTCATTTTACTCCTTCATTTCAGTTTGACTCCATCATGTAACATTCAACATCCATGACATTCAAATCAGGACATTCAAGCACTGGATTAATTGATCATCGTGGAAGCGAAGCCGCCAGGTTGAATTCACTGGAGGAGGAGTGGGCAACAGCACTGAGTTCCTTTAAAGATATTTGTGATTGAACAACACAGACAGATTTAAAAAATAGAAAATAGCATTTACTGTTTTTTTTAATTATACTAAATCACTTTTCACCCTTTATTCTACATTGCACAATGACACACACAGGTGCATGCACACTGATTTCTGTATTTATATATGACTACATGTATGCATACTGTTATGTATTTCCAGCTAGTGTTTTTCTTCGTCTACATTTCGATTAAGTAAAATATGACTGTATTAGAAGAGCTTTCTCTAGCAGTGTGTGCAGCATATTATCCAAAATACAATGTCTAGACAAACTCCTACTGTCTGACCATTTATATATTTCCTAATCCAAACAATTGTGCCAAATTTGGTGACTAAGCAAGCAACAGTTCACTTTACACTGTGTCATGAAGGTCTGACAAGGCCCAGGTCACAGTTATAAATTTCAGTCTGGCTACTTCAGCAAACCTTGGCTTCACTTGCATAGGACATCTCCCATGGGGATGCTGGTCTTACAGTGATGATGTGTATTCTGGATCATCATGAAGTAATTCAAAGACTGTAAAATCCAAAAGCCACAGCTCAGGCAGAGAACAGAGAGCACTATTATCCCGGAGCTCCCCAGAGTATTTATGAACCGTAAAAATGAAAACTGAAGAAATTTGAGGCAACGCAAGGTAAACATTGGTGATGTAAACTGCAGCATACTGCATTGTCGTCATTTTAAAGGAGGAATTTAAAAAGCAATGGGACGTAAATAACTCAAGTTTAAGGAAGGCAACCTTTTTTTGTTGGTTTTAACCATTTTGTAGAATTTTAGGGCTCTAAAACTAGAATTTAACAAGTATAAACAAAGAAATTAAGGATAAAAATCTGCCCCAGCATCCCGCACATTGCATTCTTATGGTCTTCACGTCAAACCAACATCTGTTCAACATTATGGTAACTTATCCCGGGCTTCTGACAGAGTCACAAATCAGAGCATTGCAGAGCTGCAATAACTAAACTATATAGCCTTAAATATCTCAAGAAAGGTTACACCTCGCCGAGATTTAGAGGATGTGATTATGTGCTGGCAGACTGGTGAAGAATAAAATAGTATGTCAATAATAATCTCATTTATCCTTCAACATTTTTAAGCACTTTTCACTTACATAGATTGTGGTAAATTATCGTGGAGTAAGCAATAGGAAAAAAAGTACAAGGTAGGTAAAACTGAATAGAAGATTATAAATTCCAAAATGAAAATAATGTTAGGATCCAACAAAACTGGGTTACTTTAACGAAGTGGTAAATTGAATATAATATAGCTCTTCACTAGTATTGGCACCCTTGGTAAATAGAAGCAAAGAAGGCTGTGTCTAATTTCCTTTATTGTTTTACCTTTTGATCTTTTGTTTTAAAAATAGACAACAAATACTCCATTCTCATGGATGTCAACCAACTGCAAACACAACACAGGTTTATCCAAACTCCATGTGACTGACTATACACATTATTCTGTTAATATAGGTTATTGTACTCATCCCATAAAAAGTTGTATCAGATACATGGGCGTCCGCAGGGGGGGGCAAGGGGGGGCACTTGCCCCCCCCTGGATTTTTCAGCTTGTTCTGCTATTTTTCGTGTGATTTAAAATGAACTGCAATACCGGCGCCGGCCAGTGTGTATGGAGAGAGACAGGGATAGGAAGCTGCATCTTATCCCTGCTTCTCTCTGCTGAGTGAAACCGCAGGGGAGCAACACATGCAGCCAGAGACAGCCTACAGATCAGGTAAGTTGGGGGAGGGTTTGAGATAGCCTATAGATTTTTTGGGGGGGGATGCAGCAGCCTATAGATTTGGGAGGGGCAGCAGCCTATAGATTTGGGGGGGCAGCAGCCTATAGATTTTTTTGGGGGGCAGCAGCCTATAGATTAGGGGAGTGAGGATGGGGGGCGCAGCAGCCTATAGATTAGGGGAGTGAGACTGGGGGGGCAGCCTATTGCATTAGGGTGTGCACCCTAAAGCACAAACACACGCCATGTGTATATGTATGTATGTGTGTGTATAAATATATATATATATATATATATATACACACACACACTGCTGTGTGTGTGAGGGTGCTGGTAGTGTGCTATGTGGGTGACGGTGTTTTTGTGTGTGTTTGTGAGAGTGCTGTTAGTGTGCTGTGTGTGAGGGTGCTGTTTGTGTGGGAACTGGTAGTGTGCTGTGTGTGTGTGTGTGTGTGTGAGAGGGTGTTTGTGTGTGCTTGTTTGTTCGGGTCCTGTTAGTATGCTGTTTGTGTGCTGTGTGTGTGTTGTGTGTTTGTCAGGGTGCTGTTTGTGTGTGAGGGTGCTGTTTGTGTGGGTTTTGTGTGTTTGTGAGGATGCCGTTAGTGTGCTGGGTGTGTGTGGGTGCAGTGTGAGCGAGGGTGATGTATGTGTGTGGGTGCTGTTTGTGGGCTGTGTGTGCTGTGTGTAGGTGCTGTGTGTGTGCTGTATGTTTGGGTGGAGGTGGGGGCAGATTAGTTTATATCTCAGTCCTGCTGCCTTCCCTGGTGGTTCAGTGGAGAGTGAACTCTAGCCCGGGTCCTCTGCTGCCTCCCTCCATGCTGCTGTGGACCGGTGAGGTAGAACTTTGATCTCCCCACCGGCCCATGGAGGCTTAGACCGGAGCCGCCGCTCGGATAGCGTCGGCTCTGCATGAGCCGACCGGGGAGATCCAGAGATCTCCCCTGCCGGTCTCATTCCATTGGCGTGCTGCGGGGAGTAGGGTGTGCCCATGCACACCTGACACACCCCGTGCGTACGCCTATGGAAGTGAGAGATGGGGAAGACAGCCTACATGACGAGTCAGCAAGGAGCAGGAAGGTAAAGTAAGAAAAGGAGAAGGAACAGAAATGAGCTGGAAGGGACAGCAAGGAGCTGGAAGGGACAGCAAGGAGCTGGAAGGGACAGCAAGGAGCACAAAAGGTAAAGTAGGAGAAGGAGCAGAAAGGAACAGAAATGAACAGGAAGGGTCAGCAAGGAGCTGGAAGGTAAAGCAGCACAAAGGTAAAGTAGAAGGAGCAGAAAGGGTCAGAAATGAGCTGGAAGGGGCAGAAGGAGCACAAACATAAAGTAGGAGAATGAGCAGGAAGGGCCTGCAAGGAGCAGAAAGAGACAGCAAGGAGCACAAAGGTAAAGGAGCAGAAAGAATCAGAAGGAGCACAAAGGTAAAGTGCCTGGCAGGGAAACGCTGGACCTTCTCATCTCCAAAGGTAAAAAAATATTGGTGTTAATGTGTTCACTTTTATTTACTGAGTGTCAGGAAGCACAGAGTGCCATTGGGTAGGGGTGTTGCTGATTGGCTAGAGCGGTCAGCTGGCACTCTAAGCCAATCAGTAGCTCCCCATTCATAAAAAAGTAAAAACATTTTATGAACCGGGAACTAGCGATTGGCTTAGAGCGTCAACTGACCACTCTAGCCAATCAGCGGCACCCATGCCTGACGTCAATCTGCACTTCCTGACACTCTGTTTCAGAAGCCAAATACCACTGAGCGACCTGGAGCTGGAGGAAGCCTTTGGGGTTAAACCATTTGAGAGCGATTTAACCCCCTAAAGGAAAGCGAGCACCCAGGGGCTTCCTGGCATCATAGCATTTTCATTTAGGTGAAGTTGTTATGGTGACCAGAATGGTCCTTTAATTTGCTTAAAGGAACACTATAGTGTCAGGAATACAAACATATATTCCTGACACCATAGTTGTGAAAACGCTATTCACCCTGGCTTTATGTGATAATGGCTATGCCCCTTCCCTTTAATGACACTGTCAAAAAGGTACCAAGCATGGATGTCATTACAATTATGCCCCCCCCTGGAAAAATTCCTGCGGACGCCCATGATCAGATACCATGTTTACTCGAATCTTATGCGCCATCGAATCTAATGTGCACCTCAATCTTTGAAACCTGGAAGCTGAAAAATGTTTTTTCTGGCGAATGTAATGCGCATTTATACAAGACGTTACTACAACATTGTGCTACAATGAAAATGTTTATCGCCATATACCATAGTAACAATTAGGCATGTGCATGGGAAAAATCTTCGGTTCGGTTCAGCTTTCCGAAATTCGGGACTTCGGCAATTCGGCACTTCGGCAATTCAGCGCTTCGACACTTCGGAACTTCCACACTTCGGTAATTTCGGGACCTCAGCAATTCGGAACTTCGGCAACTACAGCACTTCGGAAATTCAACACTTCGGCACTTCGGAATTTCGTCTCTTACAGCCACTTGGTAGATAACTCCCTAATTCCTACGGTCCCTATTGTCCTCCCCCCAGCCCCCACCCCTGAGCGGTGGATGAGGGCCCTAAAGTAAAACAATGGGGGGACCTATTGCGGTGGGTGGGGGCCCCAAATTAGAATGAAGGGGACCTAATGTCCTCCCCCCTGGCCCCCACCCCTGAGTTGTGGGTGGGAGCCCTAAAAACTAATTGGGGGGACCTAACGTCCACCCCCCTGTCCCCCACCCCTGAGCGGTGGGTGGGGGCCCTAAATTAGAATGAGGGTCTGAGGACCTAATGGCCTCCACCTCTGAGCGGTGGGTGGGGGCACAAAAATACTAATTGGGGGGGAACCTAATGTCCTCCCCCCTGCCCCCCACCCCTGGGCAGTGGGTGGGGGCCCTAAATAAAAAAATACCCCTCCCCGTGTGACTAGGGGTCCCCAAACCCCTAGTCACCCTCCCCCAGAAATTAACCTCACCTACCCCCCCTCACCCTAAAAAAATAAATGAGGGGACCATTTGTCCGTACCTGAAAAACTACCTATTTGATGGGTGTTTTCTTCTTCTAAATCTCTTTTTTCAGCCCCAAAAGGCCAAATAAAAAGCCTATAATAACTGACTTACTCAAAAAACAAAAAAAAAAAAACGAGTGCAAAAAAATAAATAATCCATCTTTACCCATGGAGGGCTCCGTGCAGACTGAGCTCTGCAGGGCGGGGGAAGGCTTATAAAGCCTTGCCCCGCCCTGCAATTAGGCTCAGAGCACTCTGATTGGTGGGTTTAAGCCATCCAATCAGAGTGCTCTGACAGGTAAATGAAGAGACTGACAGGTAAGTCTCTACATTTACCTGTCACAGCACTCTGATTGGTTGGTTTGAAATCCACCAATCAGAGTGCTTTGTGTCATTTTACACAGCGTGGGAAAGTTCTTTGGAATTTTCCCAAGCTGTGTAATTTGACTCATAACACTCTGATTGGTTACTTAATCAACCAATCAGAGAGTTATGAGTCAAATTACACAGCGTGGGAAAATTCCAGAGCCATGAGTGGTGGATGGGGGCCGGGGGAAGGACAAAAGGTCCCCCCCTTATTTTACTTTAGGGCCCCCACCCGCCGTTCAGGGGTGGGGGCAATAGGTCCCCCCTTCAGGTTAGGAGGGGGAGGGGGGACTTTTTATTTTATTTTTTACAGTGAGCAGCCATAGGCTGCTCACTGTTTAATAGACATGCCCCTACGGTATTGCGAGTAGGGGCATAATTTACTAATACTAGGTAATCTTTACTTAGTATTAGTAAATTTGGCTGAAAGACCAATTTAGGTCTTTCAGCCTTTTAGTAGATAGCTCCCTAATACTGTGGGAATTAGGGAGTTATCTACTTATTCTTTCCTGTCATTAAATTGACTGGCCAAGTAACTTATATTTTATATGAATGTATGTTACTTGATTGTTGTAAGTGTTGCAAATGCTTACAGCTGAATCCTGGCTATGTTTGTATACTTTTTATTTAAAATTGTATACAGTGTAACATTCTTTTTCTTCCACTGGGTAAGTATATTAGTACTTAGGCAATACTGTGCTTCGGAACTTTGGCAATATTCGGCCCAAAACGAATTGCACATGTCTAGTAACAATGATGGTATTTCAATTTTAGTGTTACATGTTAAGTCTATTCTTTCTTAAGCCCTCTTTCAGGAACAAAATTTGCCTGTGTGAATTAACTGGAATGAAATTCGCCTGTGTGAATGCACCTGTTTTAATTCACCAGTTTGAATTCGCCTGTTTGAATTCACTAGTTTTAATTCGCTGAAATATTTCCAATTTTGCCCCAAATGTGATGTGCCATCAAATCTAACGTGCATTCAAATTTTGGAAACTTTATTTTTCCAAAAAGGTGCGCATTATATTCAAGTAAATACGGTATATTTGAAGGTGCACAGATTTAATTTTTAGTTTTGTGCACGTAGATAGCATGTCTTATGAAGTGATAAGTGATTTAAAAAAAAAAAAAACAACACTTATTTCAAAGGCAATCATGATATATGTTATTGTAATATTATTCACACATTTTACAAATAAACATTGACATATCTTTGTGTGAAATATCCCCACCAGTGTAACTGCCATGTACAGGAAAAAGAAGTGTGGAACTGTGAGAAAGTGAGCAGGTTGTAGAGTGGTGCCTTTGTGGGTACTTTACAGTTGGTTTGTGCAAATATGCAGGAAAGCACCTCTACCACCTCATTCTTAGAGAGTGAGCTGTGATGTCCAGGTCAAATGGGCAAACAAAATGGCATACCTAACTTGAGGGGATGATCTCTCTTAATGAAGCACAGGTATTTTAAGTTGCAATGTTGAGTGAATGCAGTGACAGGGTGAACTGGTCCTTTTTGCTAATGGTTTGTGTAAGGCATTCTTAATGGCAGGGATTTCTCGTTTCCCAGCATCATAATTTCATTCACACAAGGTGAGTTTATGGGAATAAATTTCCATATACATTCTCTCTCTCTCTCTCTCTCTTTCTCTCTCTCTCTCTCTCTCTTCTTCTGACCCTCTGACTAAAAAGGCAATGTCCAAAGTATGCAGTTCCAGGTATAAAGGGTATTGGGTATGAGGTTTAATAAGCATAGGAGCCTGTGTGATCCTCAACTGATTGAACATCTCTTGTGTCTACTTAATCCTTAAAAATGTCCTGTCTTTCTTATGAGATGGGTGATGGGTTACCAGATCTGGAAGAAACCTCGGTAAGTATTTGCAAAGGTATGTACTATTCTGTTCATAGGAATGCACCAGTTCAGGATTGTCAGGGGCCCGCGGTCTCCCCCCCTCCTACCTGTCGGCGAGCGGCATCTGGTATCCGCCGCTCACCGCTCGCGTCCTCCACGCCTCCCAGCGGCAGCATGTATAATGCTGCACGCTGGGAGGTCGGTAATTTATTCAAACGCCGTGGTCACTCACGTGACCCGGCGTTAAAACAACAGTACCACAATCACAGTGGGAGGCGTAGATATCTCCCACGTGTGATTGTTAATTCTGATTGCAAGTTATCCAATCAGAATTAAGCAAAGGTTATTTATATTTACCTTTCCTGTCTCTCAGTGCCCTGTTGTGGTCTTGTGATACCTGTATTGTAGTTTTACTCGTGTTTCTCTCTGGTTACCGATTATTTGGCTCGTTATTCCGATTATCCTGTCTTCTTCACTCCTTTGACCTCAGCTTGTTTCTCGTTCTCCCGTTTTCTGGCTCCCCTTACTTGACTTGTCTCCTGACCATTCTTAGTGTGCTTAGCCCGGCCACTCTAAGGACCGGTATAGCATCTTTCCTCTCTGTGTCCTGTTAGCGTGTTAGGTTCCAGAATCGTGACAAGGATGGCTGTAGAAATTCACTCAGGGAAACCTGAAACTTGGCGTATAGTAAATTAATGTGCAGATGTATTAGTTTGATTCTTACATTCAAGGTCTGTTCTTTGGGGAGAACAAAAAAAATAAATAGATCAAGATAGATAATGAAGAATCTATCATGTAGGTTCCATAAGACATCATTTAAGAAATGGTGGAACATAGCAGTTGTAATACACAGATTGAAAGGTATTACTAGGTTTTCAAAATGCCCCAAATATAATCCATGTTCTACTCATCCCTCTCATCACCTCTTTTGAGGTGAGAGTTGCAGCAGGGGTACTCCATTCTACAGCCCAGTGATATAGATCTGTCCACCCTTGCAGTCATTACTTCTCAGTAGAATCTGGAGTTGGAATGCCACTAGGTCACTCTTATGGTGGTGTTAAAATAACTAAGCACAGGTGATGCACATGGTGATTTGTAGGCAAAGCAAGGTAGAGAGCACAGTTTAGAGAAACTGCGATGTTTGCATTGCAGTACTAAGACAGACTCAAGTGTCTGTCTACCAGATACTCACTAGAGGCGCTTCCTGCTGTTTAGCAGAATTTAACTTTGTGAAACGACGCTGGACGTCCTCGCACTTTGCATGAGGAAGCCCAGCATCTTTAAAATCCCCATAGGAAAGCATTGATTAAATTCTTTGCTATGGGAAAGGCCTAATATGCATGCAGCGTGTTTCCTGTCACAATGACATTGGAGGAGGTGGAGAGTAAGCCAGCACTGAGGGACGTTAGCGCTGGAATCAGATAAGTGTAAAGATTTTTTTTTAACCCTTTCAATGCCACGGGGGAGGGGGGAAGGCTGCTAAGAGACCCTATAGTGTTAGGAATATAACTTTGTATTCCTAACACTATAGTGTTAATTTAAAGCA